TGGATTCATCGAAGTGATTCTGCATTTTGGCTGACTCGTATCTTAAAACCATGGCCAATGGTTAATCAAGCTCGGTTACTATACATCATTTTTGGGCCAGTCTCTTCTCTAGATGGTGAGCAGCTTTCCCAAAAATAAAGAAGAGAAAAGAAAAAGGAGACTGATATTTTGATTTGTGTACCATACCAGAGCCTCTGGGGACAACCATGACACTGCCTGGTGGCCTCACAATTCCTGCCCTGCTCTGACACTCTGGGTACCCTTCCTTTTTTACCCTCTCATCTGCCACTCCTTGCTGTTTTTATTTTATCTTGAGAAAGGGAGGCTGCCCAGGGTCCCAAAGCGAGCCTTTGTCTATTAGTAGTCAGGGGTTCCTCACACATCTTGTTGATCCCCATCCTGCCCTCAAATGCTAAGTGGGCCCTCCTGACCAATCGGTGCCCCCAGGTCACCTGTTGCTTTAAGAGCTACTCATGGCCTCTGACCTTCCCTACAGCCATGCCCATGCCTTGCAGATGTTATGGATTATCGTTGAGGTGAGGCAATTTGCCCCCACAGCAGCATGAAACTACTTGGAGCCTCCACTCCCTTGTTGGGGCTTTGGCCTTCCCAGCTTCTGCCTCTACTCTCACTAGGATGCTCACTGCATCAGACCTGGCTTCTGGGTCCCAGTCCTAATCTCGCCATCTTGGGCTCTGGTTTTGCCTCTTTTGGGCTTCAGACCCCTGGGCCGGTTCTAGCCCCTCTTGGGCTATGGCCTTTTCTGGCCTAGACTTTAACCCTTCCCAGTTGCCACTTGTCAGCACCTTGAGCCCAGGCTCCAAACAGCCTCTTGGGCACCACTGTAACCTTCTTCTCCCCTGTTAGTCACAGTCTAGTCCACCAATGTAAACTAACAAAAATGTAAGCCCACTGGCTATAATGCAAATTATCCCCACACTGGGCCTGCACATAAATCCCATCCTGCTGGCTGTACAACTAAACATCCCCTCATCCTGGGTCATATATCTCTGCAAGCCATGAATGACTGACTTGCAATCCTCCAGGACAGCTTAGGTGTCAGCCAGGCACTCCTCTGCAGCCTTCTGTTTCAGGGACACTTCTCTCAGCCACTTGCAAGGCCGGACAGCCTGCCTCAGCTCAGGCCCTGAGTTTATGCCTCTCCCAAACCCTGCCCCTTCCCATCAGGTGGCTTCCCAGCTACCCGCAGTGGTTTCTAATTAGAACCTGATGGCTAACCTGCACAGTAGCTTGTGACGGCTGCTCTGGCTACTTTAGCAGTTCCCTAGAGCAGAGCTCTGCCCTATTGTGTTATTACAATCTAGCACTGTGATAGGCATGAATAGCTTCTTCCCCCTGGCTACCTATTTCCCTGTAGCCAGCTCATCATGGGCAGTGTTTCCCCCTGACCTGGGGTACTATCTCTGCTACTGCTTGTCTCTTAAAGTAACAGGACCTTCTGGCACCTACCTGCCAGACAATTTCTGGAAATAAATGGATTTTCAAAAAACCAGTGAGCGTGTGGAGTAGATGTACCTTCAGCCAAGAGATTGAGCTATGTATCTGAGCCTGAGTCAGGGCACAGCAACAACCTCTTTACCATTTGTTTGTTCCAAGCATGAATGCAAGTTGTGAACCCACTGGTGACCCCTCTTCTATCACCCTGCCCAGTCACAACAGCTCTTTCCTCTTTCTATAAAGGGTGGTGCTATGGGACTTTCCAGCAGCAATGAAATGTGAAGTTTGCTGTGTAGCTTCTCTGCCTACCAACTCCCAGTAGTGCAGAAATACAGTGGTGTCCTCTGTTTGGAGCTTTGCCAGGGGAAAAAGGAATCTCACCCCCAGAGAAGCAGCACCTGGGTTTCTTGAATTTAACTTCGGAATGCAGCATCTACCTCTGTGCAGATTTATTATTCCTAGCAAACTGATTATTGTTTCAAGATTTTTCTTGACTCAGTGGGCACATCTACACAAAACGTTTACTGTGCGTTGGACTAATAACACTGCGCAGTACAGCATCACAGTACAAACTGTGCTTATAGCTTACTGCACAGTGTTAAGCTAATGCACAGTAAGCATCATTATTTAACTGCATTGGTGCTAGTGTGCAGTAACTTTAGTTACCGTGCATTTAGTTAGTACTTTGTTAAGGAAATAGTAAACTAAATGTGCATTATCTAAGGCACATTAATGAACATGAACATATAGACACACCCAGTTTATGTTAATTTGTGAAGAAATTTAAGTGTCCAAGGATCACTTTTTAGATTGTGCACTCCTATGATGTATAGGCTGCATTTTTTGCCAAGCTCTGAATACATGCAAATCCAACTGAAATCAATAGGAACTTAAGTATCTCTGAACCCTAGGCCCTATAGAAGTAGCAAAGAATGATACTGAGTAGAAAAATGAACCCTTCATCTGTTTAACCCAAGCTTCTTTAAAACAATTGTTAAAATTACATATAAATGAAGAAATTGCAGAGGCTATATTTTCCCCTCCTTTTTCTCCATCTGTGTGGTGTCAAGGTAATCTTAGCATTGAATCAGAAGCATGTGTGCCTTTTTGCTAACAAATTTATTTTTTTTCAAGTAAACATTAACACTGTGTTTCCTGAAAGATTTGTGCTAGTCTCTAATGATTTCTCTGTAACCACCAATGTTGTTTACCAGTAGCGAGTTAAGAACTGCCCAAATCACCTTTTTATCCCCCCAAACCATGCTTTGCTTCCAGGCTATACATGCTTCCTTGTTTAGTGGGCTGCTTTGCCACTTAGTGGTGACTGTGATTAATGTTACCCAGGACACGTGGTCTGGCAGAAAATGATAGAAGGACCAACAGACGAAACCAGTTTAAAGGGTCTTGCTGATGCCATTAAACTCCTGTATGACACAGAAGCTAAAGAGTGGACTGCAGATGATGTTATCAGTCTTGTGGATGAATTGTCAGGTATGTTTTTGCTTTTATCATAGAATTGGGATCATATAACCATACCTGGCCAGAGTAGAGATAAATGGGTTTCAGACAGAGCAAGACTGGGGCTCTCTGAGCACTTTATGATAGTTGTACTAGAAAAGTTAGTGTCCCAGATGGAAGGAACCAGCACATGAATGATGAGCTGTTCATTCCAAGAGTGAAATGCTTTAAGTAATAATAGATTAATCATTTTAGAAATTAATATTGTTATATGAAAGAGATGCTTGTTCAATTGTTTAATTTTACTCAGTCATCTACTCCAGTGGTTCTCAACCTTTTTTTTACCGGGACCCACTTGTAAACATCAATAGCCAGTCCTGGCTCAGTGCCCCTCACTCTGGGTCCCCTGCCCCCAGTCCCTCAATGTGTGTGTGGAACAGGGGGTAGGTGTGTGGGGCAGGAGGGTGGGGCCCTGGCAGGGGATAGCAACCTGCCAACCTGCAAGGGAAAAGCTGTGGTTTCCCACGTTTTTCTCCTTTAAAGGAGAATCCATTTTTAAAGCTTGTTCTCAACCCTTTCAAATATTCTTGTGACCCGACCCATGGCTTGAGAAACACTGTTCTACTCAAGTCCTGTTTGCTACCTGGATATTCCATCCTCAGGGTTGAAAACCTAGAAGTGAAGTTAGCTTCCCATATTTCTAGCCATTTTGTATATTTCCATTATTCAGACTAATTCAAACATAACAATAAGTAGGCAGCATACATGATAAAGATTTTCCAATAGCTTCATTTTTAACAAGCTAAAAAGGCTTTATTAGAAATGTAGATAAGAGCATTTTTTAAATTTGATCTTTTAAACAGTTCTCTTGTTTCTTCAAACAGACTAGGGTTGCTGTTATGAATGGATCTGGAATCTATACCAAAGAATCTGTGAACTCTCCTAAACTAAATGGACAATATAAATGTTTAAGTTTTGAGAGATTGTATTGTGGATTTTATTATTATCAGCCTTAATACAATCCATTTGGGATCTGTAGTAGCTCTGTATCTCCAGATGAATTGGAATAGGCTGTCCCCTCATAAATGTTATGTACTGAATGCAATGATTCATAACTTTAAATGTTTCCCAAATTGTTTTCCCGTAAATCCTTCTTTTAGTGTAATTTTAAGTATTCACTGAGTCTCTTGAATCAAAGGTCATGCAAATTCTTTGTATTTTGTTACAAGTGGTTCCCCGGGAATGGCTTATGGAAAATAATGCTCGTCTCCTTATCCTGAGTGGGAACAACATCTGTTTCACCTTCATGGCCAGTAAAGCTGTGAATGGGCGGGCTGTTGAGCTGGCCAGGCTAATGGTCTTTCTAGCTTTGGTGAGTACTACATCTGCAGTTCTGCTTTCCCAGACCTCAGGGTTTCTTTTTCTACTGACATTGGTGTAACTTTATCAAGAAGCCTCTCTCTCAGTTGCCTTACTTTCCGGCAGCATGTAGGAACCTTACCAGATCTAACCCGAGAAAAAATGTTGGTTCATTCAGCATAAGGTGAAATTAAAATTCTTCCACCAGAATAGCCTGGGTCAAATAGACGTATACCATCCCCTTCAAGTGTCCTGTTACAATGGGAATTCTAGAGTAGGAACGAGCCTGATCATTTTAGGCTGATTTACTTTTATAACCTCACTGTCATTGAGGCTACATAATTACAATATTTCTTATATGTGCCAGGTCTGTGAGAAGGACCTGTACTGTATGGACTGGACAGTAAAAATGATGCAGAAGGTCTGCCAAGTTTTCAGCACTCCAGGAGAGAAGAATAATTTCCTGCAGAGTGTTGAGAATGCGTTTGCTCACCTGGTCATGGATATGCTACAGTCTGTAATGTCTGGTAAGTTCCAGTGCCTGTCGACAAACTGCTATCCCCTTAAACAGGACCCAGCCAAGATTCGAGCACAGGAGGGAATGGGGAGCTACTGTTCTCACAGCTCCAGCCTGGACCCCTTCCTCATCACCTAGTGCTATGTATGGAGTGGTTGGGGGCCTTACAAAAGATGAGATATGACTTTTATATTTACAGTGTGCTGTTGGTTGATTTATGTTATGTGGTTTGGGTTGTTTTAATTTGGTTTTGTTATCATAAGGAGTGTGTATTTTAAGATTATGCTAAAACACTTACTGGCAGAGCTTTAAAAGAGGCACTTTTTGTAGGAATAAAATATACAAGCCATCAGTGGGAATGTGTTTAGTAACAGATGCTCAACTGTGTAAATAGATTCAGGATAGAGGTAACCTGTAGGCAATCTAAGAGACCTCTAATGGTTCAGATACTGACATTTACTTAATGTTTCTAAACATATTGATGGCATCAGTGTACCTCACTTTTTTGCTCCCTTTTAACCAAAAGTGTCCAGACTTTGCTTAAAGGATATTGGCTTGTCCAGAGATTATGAACTGTATTTATATGCCGAGTTCTCTTTTGATTCCAGCAGAAGGTTGTTTGGATTAAGCTGGAGCCTTGCATGCTAGGGCCTGGACCCTTTCTGAGCTGCTTCTCTATCCAATATCAAAGCACTTGCAGACTGAATTGTTAAACTCTTTAAGCTGCATTTGTTCCTTGGTCCACATATTTGTCAGCTTTGATATAATCCCAAAACAGGTTATAACTGCAAGCAAGAAAGATATACGCAATTAGGAAAATTTATTTCTTTCAAGTATGATTGTTTTTGTCCATCTTTGGTCAAACTGGCTATGGAATTCTGGAAAGAGAATCTTCTAGGCTATTACAGCTAGCCAAGAGCTATCTTTTGTCTAAATGGAAACTACTTGGCTTCTGCTAAGATACTGCATGAATGAATTCTGGTATCTTCTGCCTTCAAGCAAATCTTGTTTTTATTAACTATTTTTTAAATATTTCTTTTGTGGTACTTAGGAGATCGTGATGAAGAAGACAGCAGTTTTTTGAATCTGTTTCATCTTGTGAATGCACAAGCTAACTTCCATAAAGAAATCTTGTACCTGACCTTGAGAAGCACCTCCACCTAGCTAAGACTTTTAGAGAAAGGTGACCTACTTCCTTCCCCCATTTTTTTTCTCGCACATGCAAAACAATGTTAATCTACCTTTTAAGTTTGCTCTCCAGGAGGCTGACTGGAGATGCTAGCAGAATACATATCAGAAGAATTATAAAAAAAAACTTCTGGAAAGTACTGTGGTATCTCAAAGACACTGTAGCATGGCCCTGTACAAATTTCTCTGTGGCTTTGTGTCACAATTGCTGAGGAGACAATATATGGCATTCCATGATTCAACTGCTGAGTATGGGAATATACACTGCGTTCTTTTCCCACTGTGTGTGTGTTTGCATACAAAATAAAAAATGACATGGTTTTCATATTTCATGCACATCTACAATTAAAGAATGTTATCTTAGATCAAAACAGAAAAATATCTTGATCTTTCAGTTTTGTTTTCTTTGTGGGATCCATTAAGACATATAATTAGAGAGGGATGGCCAGGTTTTTCAAATTTGCCAGAGTATCTGTAATTAATTTTATTTTCTTAGCTTTGGAACACTACAGTAGTAATATTGCATGGATTGTTCACTAGATTTTAGCTCAGGAAACATCCTTGAATATAGCCCTAACTTTTTGGTTAAGGAAGGCAAAAATAATTTTTATACTGGATGACAAAACAGAACCAGCTTCAAATGTACCTAGCTATTAAATGTGGGTAATAACTAGATTGTTTACACAGGAAAAATACATATTTTTGCAATTTAACTAAGTTAAAGAAGGGTGTTAGAACATCTACAGGTACTTAAGATCACTGTTTTTATTGAAGTATATAAGTAAGTATCCTATTTAAAAAACATAGTATGGTACATAGTAGGGCTGTGCGAAATTTAGCTGCCAGTTTTGTTTTGACACTGTTTCAATCTGTTTCAAGGTTGAAACAGCAAAACTGAAATGGAACAGATATAGTTGAAACAGCCTCGAAACAAAATGAGGCAAGTCGAAACGTTTCACTGTTTTGATGCAGTTTCGATGTTTTGCCCACAGGCTATAATGGGGAAGAACAAAACAGCCTATAACTTTTTAATTTCTCACCTGATTTAGGTGAAACTTGCAGGAATGGTAGCCCCTTCTGAGGGCATGAAGCCTGCCAAGTTTCAAGGAGATGGGTGGAGGGAGTTCGAGGAAACTGCACCCCACAATTTTGAAAGCAAAACTTGTGTCATATGTATGTGTTAAACCACAGTGGGGTCAAAACTGCAGGCATGCTAGCCCCTACAGAGGCCACAAAGCCTGCCAAGTTTCAAGGAGATAGGTGCAGGGGTTTGGGGCAAACTGCACTTCAAGCAGTGAATAGCAAAACTCATAACACGGGTGACAGTGTGTGTTAAGGTGCAGCAGAGTGAAAGTTGCAGGCATGCTAGCCTCTGCTGAGGCCACAAAGCCTGCCAGCTGTCAAGGAGATCGGTGTATGGGGAGTCTGGGTTCTGGGGCCCTGCATCTCTAGCTGCTGACAGGCAAAACTCGTGACATGGGTGTTTGTGCAACTGACTGTCTCTGTCTTGGGGCGGAAGCAGTTCCTGGTTCTGTATTGATTCTTTCCTCTCCTTAGTCTGTGGTTTTGTAGGTGTTAACCCTTGCTCATTAACTCATTATCCTGGCTAGCTACTGTGTATTGAGCTGGTTCCTGAGTGAAGCATGATTGTTTGCGTAACACAGTAGTTTACTAGCACAAGCACCCATGCCATGAGTCTTGTCTGTCAGCAGCTAGGGGTGCAGGGCCCCAGAACCCCCCTGCACCGATCTCCTCGACAGCTGGCAGGCTTTGTGGCCTCAGCAGAGGCTAGCATGCCTGCAGCTTTCACCCTGCTGCGCCTTAACACACGCAGGGTCCACCCGTGTCACGAGTTTTGCTTGTCTACTGCTTGAGGTGCAGTTTCCCTCAAACCCCTGCACCTATTTCCTTGAAACTTGGCAGGCTTTGTGGCCTCCATAGGGGCTAGCAGGCCCGCAGGTTTCACCCCGCTGTGGTTTAACACATACACGTGACACAAGTTTTGCTTTCAAAATTGTGGGGTGCAGTTTCCCCAAACCCCCTCTGCCTATCTCCTTGAAACTTGGCAGGTTTCATGCCCTCAGAAGGGGCTACCATTCCTGCAAGTCTCACCTAAATCAGGTGAGAAATGAAAATGTTATAGGCTGTTTTGTCCTTCCCCATTATAGCCTATGGGCAAAACGTCAAAACTGTTTCACTGTTTCAACCCTGTTTCGAGGGAACAAAATGGAACAGCTGTTTCAAACTGAAACAAAATTCGAAATGAAATGCTGTTCAGTCAAAATGTCGAAACACTGGTTGAAACAGAACGCTGCCGTTTCACATAATCATAGTACATACTTATAAAACTAAAACTATTTAATTCATGCCAAACAGTATTTATTTCACTGTGGGTTACTTAGGGTATCTACTTTCTTTATATTATTAAATTGCCTTTTCCCCCTATCAGGAATAGTTTCCTAGTTATTTAAAGTTTATGAAGGGCCAAATTATGTCCTGTATAAGGAGCAGGTAGATCCTCAGCTCTTATAAACTGTTATAATCATGACGGTGTATGCCAGCTGGTGATCTGACTCCTGGTGATTCCCACCATACTGAGATTATTGAGATTTTTTTCTTGGTGGGGAGGGCCAGAGGATGGGGAGGAAGTAGTTAACCATATAAGTAAGAATAAAATTTAGCTACAGTTGTATGTCTTGCTCACATTTTCTGAAAACCTTAAGTGTATGCCTGTAGATGGTAAAGGTGATACTTTTCTTTTAAAAACAAAATAACATGTCAATATGTGAATTTTGTCTTTTTTAAATCTATTCCTTTTCCAGGTGTACCTTTCTTTACACTTAGGAGCACACAGCAGTTGTTTTTAGTTCTGAACCTGAGCTGTGATTTCCTTTCATCACTGAATTACTCGTTGTGCAAGGTCCCTGACAAATTCATAGTCTAATGAATTAATCAGACACACTTGAACTAAAAGCAAATGCTAACAGAATTCTAGCAGTCAAGGTGTAGCCAAACTGGAGACAGATTTGCAGGTGCAATCTAAGAAGAAGATGGCATACTATAGTGTTAAGGCAGGAGGTTCACCAGTTCAAAGCAAACCAAATCTTGGGAAACTAACTTTTCAGATATGGATGGACTTGAAGAAATATGCTACTAGTGATAGTAGGACCCAGATATGGATGCATTTGACATCCCTTTATCAAACAGTCAATAATTCAACAAGGGATGACTAAGTGAGGGAGGACATTATAGAAAGGTTATTTTGGGGGAGAAACCTTGCCTCAAGTGTTCACAAGCTTAAATTTCAATGGAAGAATAAACAAATGCTGATCGGTAACTAAGGCATTAGGTTTCCAAAGGTTAAACTTTGATAAACAAGATTCTGATTCGCAATGTCATCTGGACTGTGAAGCTTAGGGTCCTGAATGTGAAAGAGGTCTGATATTGCTTCAAACCAGAGTGCGAAAAGTGTAAGAAATCTATCCTAACCAAGGAGGAAAATTGTAGGAAGCTAAATGAACAAATAAATGCCTAAAAATGATATTGGGAGGAAGCAGAGAGCCTATAAAGAGTTGAGGGGGAGGAAGGGGAAGGACTGATTCGTTAGCTCTGTCCTAGAGGTTAGGAAGTACATTGATAAAGTGAGACTTGCCAAGAGTGGTACTGAGTTGGACCTTGCAAAGGATACTAAAACAGTCAAAAGTATTTCAGTGCAGGATTCAATTGTTTCCAGCCCAGTTGGCACAGGAAGCTTCAGGTGTGGTATCAAATATTTTTAACAAATCTGTCAAATCAAGGGCAGTGCCATTTGGTTGGACAACAACAAATGAACAGCTTAGTTATTTTAAGGAGTGGGAAAAAATGGATCCAGGAATATGTGGACCTGTGAGTCTGATCCAGTAAGCCTGCAGGGTTTAGAATGAAAGTTTTAAGGAAAGGACAAATAAAGGCAAGGGTGATTGAGTTAAAGTATAACAATGGTTTACCAAGAGTAGAGAGAGGTAATTAACCATATTAACCTGCCTTTTACCAAAGATTAACTTAACCGGTTTCTTTGATAAGAAGACTAATTTTCTACGCAAAGGAAAAACAGTGTATGTAACTAGAGGTGCACTGATACATCGGTCCAATATCGAATTGGCACCAATATAAAGAAAATTGACTATGTCGGAAATTGGTCTGATGTGGCTGACACTTTGGCTGATAAATGCGTGTGTGTGCACGCAGCCATAGCGCAGCATGAAAGCAGCAAGGAGCACAGCCTGGCAGCATGGAGAGCTGCCTCCAGCTGGTAAGTCTGTTGTAGTGAAAGGGGAGGGGGAGAGAAGGGACTTGGCAGAGGCAGATCAACGCCCCCTGTGGTGAGCAAGGGAGTGGAGTTAGGGCTGGGGTAGGAGCTGCCCTGCTGGGGCAGGGCAGGCACACAGCTCATCCAGGGGGCATGGGGGGCCCCGGCTCCCACCACTGTGCGCTGCTCGCCCAGGACAGCATGGTGGGGGTGTCCCTGGATCTGTGTGGGGCAGGCTGGGTGGGCTGCAGCTGCAGGCTGGGCGCCATGCTGCACTGTGCTTGGGGTGGGTGTTGGCTGCGCTGGGAGGGGGCTATGAGAGAGCTATGGTGAAATTTGGGGTGTCTGCAGCCCCCCTCCCCATAGCCCCACACCCAGCACCCCCTGAACCACTCAGATGAGCTGCAGCTCCATCCTGTGCCTGCCCCACCCTGGCTGGGCAACGCCTACCCCAGCCTTAGCCCCACTCCCTCCCTCACCACGAGGGGGCATTGACCCATCCCCCCATGCCTCTTCCCTCCCCTTTCACCACAACAGACTTACCAGCTGCACTCAGCTGTATGGGAAATCGGATCGGTATTGGCCAATATGGCTCCTTAAAAATCAGCTATTGGTATCGGCCCCCAAAATCTCTATCAGTGCACCCCGACATCTAATCTACTGGGACTTCAATGAAGCATGAGATATGGTCCTGCATTGGAAAATGTTAATTATTTGTTAAGCAAAAGATGGACATTAATAGAGGAACTGTAAGATGTGTAAGGAACTGGATAAAGGGAGACAGTAATGGGTAATGTTGAAAGTGGAAATATCAGCTGGCAGGGTCACAGGTGGCTTCAGTGCCCCCTTCTCCCCTGGCCCTCCTCCCTGTGCAAGGCTTAATGGATGGGCATGACAGGTGGTCTCGGCTGTCTGACTCTTATCTCTGGTGATGGCAAGGTGATGCAGCTGTCTACAGTGTCCCTGGGGCACGGTGGCATGGCACTTGGCCACCCCAGCAGTGGCCCCCCTCCAGGGAGGAGCTGGAGGCACAGGTCCTGGCAGTCAGACCAGGGGTCTGAAGGCCACTCTGGAGGCC